CAAACTGAGCTTTCCTCTTCCCAGAATTCTCCTGTTCTCATTGCCCCGTCTATACTTCCTGCCTGGCTACTGGCCAATCAGCATTTTATTAAACAAGTATATGAAACAAATCTTTACAGGGTAAAACCATTGTCCTGCAGCAGAGAACTGGGCCTAGCATGGGCTTTTGAAACCTCAAAGCCCACCTCCAGTGACACACTTCCTCCAACAAGGCCACACCTCCTAATTCTTCCAAACAGTTTTATTCCCTGGTGACCAAGGATTCAAATATATGAGCCATTGTTCAAACCACCACAGGAGTAACTAACAATTTCGTACCAGCCATTGCTAAGGTTCCCTGTAGCCTGAGCTATTGAAGCTCTTCCATTAGTTAACCAGGAGAGATTCTTTTTGCCTAAGATCTGTGGTTAACATCAACTTCAATTATCTGCTCATATATCCTCTTATGTCTTCTTAGTTCCTTTTGATTCAGGGTTTCTTTAAAATTTCTAAAAATATTTTATGTGTCTGGGGTTTTGCCTGCATGTATATATGTGTACATGTGCATTTGATGCCTGAGGGCAACCAATCCCCTCACACTGGAGTTACAGATAGGTGTAAGTCAACGCGTAGGTGCTGAGAACCAAACCCAGATACTCTGCAACACAAGTCCTCTTAGCTGTTGAGCCATCTCTTCAGCCCTGGGGCTCATTTAAAAGCTGGAGAATCATCACAGCTATCCCAGGTTCAGGCTATGACTATTTCCACTTCTGTGCCTACCCTGGGTCAGCTGCACTGCCAGAGGCACTTTTTCTAAGCACATTCCCGAGCTCTTGCCTTTACTTTGTAACAGCAGCAGCGCTCATTCACAATCTTGGAGAGACCATATCTATTCATTCTATCATCTCACAACTATTATGAGCCAGGCATATGGCAGGTACTCAGCAGAAAGTGTTAAGTGAATGGATTCTGAACCTTCTGTTTGAGTTCAGTTCTATCAGACACAAATCACCCAATTTTAAATACCCCCCCAACAGGCTATATAAGCACTAGCCATGCCATCTGGACTATGCATGTTTAAAAATAACATTTGTCTAAACATATGCACTCATGTTCTTACTAGTCCAGGACTCATTCAATGTTCAGGGAGAGAAAATCCTGTTTAAAGTAACTGCTATATCTACTCTTGCTTCTGCACTTCACATTTTGACCAAGAGGGTAAAAAGGACTTTATCATGACATATACCATTCTCCTTTCCTGTTTTTTTTTTTAAATATTTATTTATTTATTATGTATACAATACTCTGTCTGTGTGTATGCCTGCAGGCCAGAAGAGGGCACCAGACCCCATTACAGATGGTTGTGGGCCACCATGTGGTTGCTGGGAATTGAACTCAGGACCTTTGGAAGAGCAGGCAATGCTCTTAACCTCTGAGCCATCTCTCCAGCCCTCCTTTCCTGTTTTGATATAGGGTCTTGTTAAATTTTCGAGGCTGGCCTCAAACTTGCTGTCCTGCCTAAGCCTCCCAAGCACTGCTAGGTTATAGAACTGGCCTGGCCTGTCTATGTCCTTAAGTGAGTCAGTCAGTGGTCTGTTTTCAATTTTTGGAATGAGAATTTTTCTTTTTCTTTTTTGTTTGAGACAGGGTTTCTCTGTGTAGTCCTGGATGTCCTGGAACTTGCTTTGTAGAACAAGCTGGTCTTGAACTTACAAACATCTGACTGCTTCTGCCTCCCAAGTGCTGGGATTAAAGGTATATGCCACTACTACCACCAGGTCAAGAACTGCTTCTTAGTTTAGGAATTTTCAATCTTTCTTCACTTCAAACACTTTCCTCATTATTTTTTCTCTTATTTATCCTTTGTCTTCAGTTAAATATAATTTATTTTTTCTTTAGGAAGGTTTCTAAATTTCTTAATGTGGTTTTGCCAATATTTTCAATTATCCACCCACTCACCATCTCAAAAAGTAGTTTTCTTCATAGCACTTAATACAATTATGGATAAATGAAATGACAATTGTATTAAATATATGTATTTATATTATTCTCTTCTATAACACTTAAAAGTTCCGTGAACTAAAAACTATCACTATATTACCAAGACTCCAATATCTTGTATACACCAGGCATATTTCCCAGAAAGCTTTTAACTTTTAATCTCATTTAGGCACCTTCAAAAGAGAAGGCTTGAAGGTGAAGACAAAAGCTGAATGGTCAGAGAGAGGAAAGGTTAGGGTTGGATGGGGAAGCAATAGAGAAATTAAGAAAGTGCAGGATACTCATTTAAGGTTTCTTCTATTCCAATCCCCAATGTGAGATGTCCTTCTGTATATGTGTTGCTTTGATTGGTTGATGAATAAAGCTGTTTCAGCCAATGACTTAGCAGAGTAAAGCCAGGTAGGAAATCTGAATAGAGATATATAGAGAGAATAGACAGAGTTCAAAGAAATGCCATGTAACTTCCCAAGGAGGGCGTCAGAACCTACCAGTAAGCCACTGCCTCATGGCAATATATAGATTAACAGAAATGGGTTAATTAAGAATTAGCTAGGAATAAACCTAGGCTATTGGCCAAACAGTTGTAATTAATATAATTTCTGTGTGATTATTCAGGTCTGGGTAGTCGGGAAATGAACAATCTTCTTTTACAAATGGTGCCCAATGTGGGGTAACTACCTTCACATAAAACCTGAGAGAGCTTGAGAAGGGATTCTAGACATAAAAGAACAAAGTTAAGCATAACTTCTTGGTAGCTTCAAATTTTTCCAGATTTGCTCTGCTTTCTGGTGGCAAGCCGAAGTGCAGCTCCTTTAAGAGAAGGCTTCCTGACTCAGAATTAGTAGCAAAATCTGCACAGCTTCTTTAAGAAATGGCTTCCTGATTCATGCTGGCAGCACTAACTCTGTTTTGGGAGGTCCTGGACTTAAATGGGACTTGTGAGCAGCATGCTACTAGTGTTTAATGGCAACATAGACCTACTGCATCTCTGGAGCTGGGGTGGTGAGCATGGCTAGCAGAGGTGGTGAACATACCTTTGCCATTTGGACAGGGTGGAGTCAACAAGCAGGGTCATGGAGTTGGTCCTAGCCATGTCTGCTTAGCATTTAAAAAAGAAAGGTGCTCCTGGTCAGAAAATGATTACAGAGATGCAATAAAGAGACTCAGACAAAAATAAACCTCTGAACGAGTCACAGTGTGTTTAAAAAAATGTATGTAGGCTTGGGAGAGAGAAGAAAAAGATTATTAGACAGTTATAAACAGAAATAGTTTTAAAAAATAAAGCAAAGTCTTTAAAGAGACAGTAAAAGTAATATAAAAGAATATAGACAGTCATAGAGCCTAAGGATATGTTACTTTAGAAAAAAGGTTCTGCTTATGTTTCTACAGAAAATGAGAACCTGTGGATTCCTTCCAGGCTAATGTGGTTTGATAGAACAATACCCCCCCTGAAAGGTCTCAATGAACCATAAAGACACTTTTCCCAACAAACAGCAGGAAGCAGTTTAGAGAAAACTATGCCCAAATTCCCAAAATGATAGCTTATAAGTGTTTGCTTTCATTTAAAGGGGGTTGATTATGACTGCTTAATGGCCCCAGGCAAAGTTTTTCTAAAGAACAAAAAGGGGGGATATGATATAGAAATGAATACTTTATATTGATATGGACTTTGGTTTATTGATACAAATTTGAGGTCAATTATATGTATATTTCTACTCGTGTTTAAGGTATTATGCTTATATAGCTCATTTAAAAATGTAATGTAAAACTAAAAATTATAGATTAATAGATAGTCATTTATAATAGTCAAACTTGTAGTTATGTTAGTTAGGTTTTCTAGATATACAGAGATATATTTCAGTTAGATAATCTTCAACACTTCAAAGATATATAGAATATGGCATTTAAAAGGTTTTAAAAACTTAGACTTTTCTCAACAGTGAGACATGTTTCTGGCAGCATCAATTGCTTAAGAGAGGTTGACAGGCATTGAAGAAACTTGTTATGGAATTTGCCTCCAATGTGACAAGGCTAGCCATTTGGGCAAGAAACTACTCTTGCCTGGACTGCTTGATGGTATACTGTATAAACTGGACATGCAGGACCCACAGAAAAATGACTGCTGAACCTGCCTAAAGAAGGTGAGAGGGTTCTTTAGGGTTCCCCCTTCATAGAAGAAACTGCCAGACATTCTGCAGGACACAGAAGAAAGCAACTGATGAACTTTGCCAGTACAAGGCAGAACAGATCTTCAAATTTCCTGCTTCATGGAAAAGTCTACCAGATATTATGGGCCTGTAGGCTAAAGATGGATGCCCAGGTAATGAGATGTCTCTAGCAATTCTAGTTTTGGAAGTTGCTTACAAGGCACTTCCTGTTTACCTGGGTAATATTATATCCTTCTGGGGTCTTTGGTGGAGTTGAAGCCAGATAGTTATATAGTTTTCCTTAGTTATGATAAAAGATAATTAGATATAAAACTTTAGGCTCACAAAGATAGGATAGATAATATTTTTTCTTAATTTGCCAAATGAAAAGACTAAATACTGTTACTATAATTCTTGCTTGATAACTGTTTTGTTATATGTAATTTTACTATGTTAAAGTTAAAACCTTCCTTTTTAATTAGAGAGAAAAGAGATGACATGGGATGTCTTTCTGTATATGTATTGCTTTGATTGGTTGATGAATAAAGCTGTTTCAGTCAATGGCTTAGCAGAGTAAAGACAGGCAGGAAATCTGAACAGAGATATATAGAGAGAATAGGCAGGGTCAAAGAGATGCCATGTAGCTGCCAAAGGAGAAGGACATCAGAACCTACTGGTAAGTCACAGCCTCGTGGCGATACACAGATTAATAGAAATGGGTTAATTTAAGATGTAGGAGCTTGCTAGGAATACACCTAAGCTATTTGCCAAACAGTGTTGTAGTTAATATAGTTTCTGTGTGATTATTCAGGTCTAGGTGGCCGGGAAACAAATAAGCAGTCTCTGTTTACAAATCACAATATTTCATTCCCATCTTAAACAAATCACAAGACAATAGTTTATTCATTCCATTAGAGAACTAGGTAAACTTCATATTACAAAACCAAAGTAAGTATAATTTTGAAGAATTAGAATATCTTCAAGAAACCAGTTACAGTTTAACTGAAGTGGATGTGAACACACTGTGTCTACTGAGGAAGGTCACATTCCTCTAATATATGAAAAGATAATGAGATATACTTTCTTAGTCATTGAGGAAGAAATTTTCTTTCTTGACAAGCTGGTACTATTTCTTTTTTGTAGCTCTTTTCCCTTCTCCTTTCTTTGGTTTCACCTTTCCACGGAGCTTCTTTAGACGTCTTTGCTCATCCTTAAAATCCTGATGCTCATCTCTTGATAAAGGAGGAGAGAGAAAAAACAAAAAATTGTTTACCACAGCTATGTTTACCACACCAGAGAAGTACCAATCTAGAGCTGTTCTCTTAGGCTGTTGAGCATGGCTTTTTAGGGCATGTGCTTAGTTTGGTGAACCCAGAGACTGGCTGGGTTGTAAGAATTCAGATGTCAGTTTTCCTTCACAGACACAATACTACAAAATTGCCAGGTGAGACCAAGTAAACCTATGTAACTATGAGATACACCATCCAATATTTCTCTATATAAAATAGGTATATATAAATATCTTTGGTTAGATGCCCAGTATCCAAAAACAAACAAACAAACAAACAAACAAACAAACACCCCCAAAACAAAACCTAAAAAAAAAAAGACTAAACATTGAGAGGAGTAAAATTTGGACAATAGCAGGCAGATCTTTGTAAGGCTAGCCTAGTCTATAAAGTGAGTTCCAGGACAGCCAGAGCTACACAGAGAAACCCTGTCTTGAAAAACAAAACTTGAATATAATTTTCAGTAGCTACACAGAGATCCTGATTGCCCTAGGAATCAGCATCTACTAAAAATGGGCAGTTCTGCAGAACAGCCTGCATGGCAGTGAATGTCCCACACATAAAGGCTGTTGGGAAAGGCTCAAGCAGATGGACAGCAAATCAAGATAAGCCTTCTAGGAGTCACAGCAGCCAGGACTAATTATACATGTGGGCAGCGCAGAAGGCGAAGAAGGCTACAACTGTAACATGTCTAGATCCTAAGACTAAATACCCTAAAACGTGCTTAAACATGTAAACACATGTAAGCCACGGGACCCATGTAAACCTGGTTTTAAAACACAGCTCCACCAGACAGACACGAGCTCTGTAACTTTGGATACGAGACCTCACTCTCCCACTGCACCTTAGTTTCTTCCTCTGTAACAGGTAGCAATAATGGCTTATGGATTGAATATACATTATTCAATGGATTTAATAAAATGGGCTAAATATATTAAAAAAGGATGCTTTGCTGGGCCCAACTAAACTATTTTTTTAAAAGATTGATTTTATAGAATTTGATAACTCATTCTATGAACATGATGGACAATAACAGCACAGACCTCATTGGGGTTAGCTATGACTGACAATTATCAATATAACCATAATAATTCATCCAAAATAGATGTCAGATCATGTTTCCAAACTCTGTTGTCCAGGGCAAAAGTCCTGTTCTTTACCACAGCACTCACAGACCCCTGTGACCTGCCTCCTGTCTCCCAGTTGGTCCCTTAGCCAAAACCATTCCTGGGCCATTGCAGGCACAATCCAGCCTCAGTAAGAGAGGCCTTTGTTCACTCGTCTCTGTTCCACAAGCTCTTCTACAGGTCTCACCAGGTTCACTCATTACCCACGAGCCTCAGCCTAAACCTCAATCTCCTCTCTGGGGCTGACCCTGACTGCCCTGTTTAAGGCTGTTACCATGCCTATTCCCCAGATCACCACAGGCTCTGTCAGCACTCTGGATCCTGCTTGGCTAGTTCTGTCCCTCTCACCCGCCTGCAGCATGTTCAACACTGTCACAAAACATATCATATTATTCATTACATCATTTTTCCATTCTTCACTCCCTCACTGTTTCTGACCACCACCAGAAGAAAACTACAAAGGCTGCTAGCACAGCAAGGCAGCTTGTTAACAGAGTGAATCAACTGTTTTGGTTGATTTTATTTCCCTCCCTCTTCTGCAGGCTTTTATATCAGACTTTATTGAAGGGATGTCTATATCCATCCTGTCTGATGCTACAGATGGCCATTGGAGGCATCATTTACCATAACTACTGACTAAACATATAAAAATAATTTTGCTTCTTAATGAACAACTAAGTACTTAGCATTTTTTCCCTTGTTCCCAAAGATAGCTAGGTCTTTGTTCTTCAAATAAATGAAGAACAATATCAAACAGACATATTAAAATAGTTGAATGTGATTTTGTTAGGAGTTATAATATTCCATGGGATCTGGCTTCTGATATTTTATTCTGGGTCATAATAAAATTAGGTTTTATTTTCTGAGCCAAGACTAATGGCAAAAGAGATAGTCCCTAGCAATTCTAGACACTCAAAAGTAGGCCATACATTATAATCTCTAATAATTTATTAACTTAGAATATCCATTTGTTTTGTTTACTGCTGGTCCTTTAACATTCATCTTAAATACCTGTACATGGAAAGTACTTAAAAATATGTTGGATAAATGAATATCAACCTTTAGCTCTCTGGAATGAGTACCATGCTGTGCTATTTATTTTATATTACAGCAAATGGTCTCAAGCTAGTAGTTAGGACTAATTAAAACATGTGATATTTTAAAGATGGTATGCAATTCAATTTAATAAAATATGCTATTTTAGTTCTTTATAAGGGGCAATGTATTAGTTTAGAAATTTTCTTAAATTTTTTTTAAAGAAAAATGACCATCTTGGTATTTTATTACCATTTTTTTTTCTACAAGGGTCCTAGGCACTCACTTCTTAGAACTACCAAACAAACAAAACACAGTATTAAGAGTTATGCGATTTATAAATTACCATTAAAAGTGAACTACAGCTTATCAAAGTCAAATTAATATACCAAGGACACAAAATCAAAATGCCAGAAGTGAGTAGGCGGAGTAAGAATGTCAACAAAACTGCCACCAGCGGAGAATGGAGGCTCCCACACACCCAGTAAGAGGCAGATCAGGTGTGGGGCAGGGTTCTGTTCCTCTGTACCGACAACCAGCTGCTCTGGTAGGCATGGTGCTTGGTGCGTTTTATTCCTCTTCGTTTTGGCCTACTCCCTACCCCCGTCCTTTTTAGAGCACCCTTAATTAATGAGCAATTGTACGTCTCTCTATAGCTCAGTACAGTTTGATGCTGGCTATGTTTTAGACATAATTCCAACAAGCAATTTTGAAAGAGCACCTACCCACACACACTGTACCTTTTGATGTACCCGGACTCTCTCATAAGAGCCACAGAACTGTAGGAGAGACAGGCTAATTGTTTTCCTTTGCTGCTCTGCTAACACCGCCTCTGACAAGCCCTATCTTTTTATCTCTCCTCACCTGTAGAGGCCAAGGAAACGGAGTGTGCCCATGAGTGCAAAATACGTGTTGTGATTTGGATACCAGTCGTAAGTCTCTTTCTTTTTGGCCAAGGGCTGCTCCTTGAACATATTCACCACTTTCATGGACTTTGAATCGGTAGGCCTGGCCACTTCACCAAAGATCCGGGCACTTAGACGAGACATGCGCAGGGCATATTCTGAAAGCGAAGCCATTTCTTAAGCCGTGAGGTACAAGATTCCCTAGAGAAAAGGAGATTAATAGGTGAGCGTGAGAAATTCTGCACTTACCTAGTAAACATTGTAGAAAATGAAACACAGCAAGCCACCCATGAATTACCGTGTTCCTTTGGCAAGATCTGCCCTGGAGTTGAGACACATCCACTCTGGAGCTACTTCTTTCCTCACGCCTGTGGTTTTTATATTTTGTGTTTATATACTATGTTGCTTTGGTGTATTGCTTTTCTTACAACTTGTGATTCAATAGGCTATTTACTTGTCGTCAAGTTTACTTATCTGCAAGCTGGATGAAGGGGACAGGGAAACAAGTTACTCTGCTATAGCATCGTTATTATACCTTCAGAAAACCACCACCCAGGCAATCTGCAGATAAATATGCTGACTGCTTGCCATCTAAAGGTGTAATCATGGCAGAGAAGTAATTATGCTGTTGTCTTTATTATCAGTCCTTTGAACACTGTTCTCCTCAAGGGCACCAGATGGCTCTGAGAACTGCTAATGAGTTATGAGGTCATTTGGCCTCTAGGTTACTGGATTGAATTCTGCCTAGCAACTGAAAGCCATTTGGGAAAAACAGACAGTAGTTCTATAGAAACAAAACTCAACAGCTCAAATAAGGATCATCAGCTTACAAGATCTGTTATCCCTGAACAAAAGTCACCTAGGAATTATGACGCTATTCATCAGCCGTAATGCAGACCAACTCAACAGCACCTTTTCCTACAGAGGTACAGAATGTAGAAACAGACATAAGAATGATAACTAGGGCATTGAAAATTATAGCTAATAGACAGAAAAAACCCCCACACAATAGACATGTAAAAATCAAAAATGCTTCTGGGGGCTGGAGAGAGCCTGCAGTGAACAGCACTTGCTGCTGCTCTTCCAGAGGACAGCTCAGTTCATGGTGCCCATGCTGGACTGCTCACAAGTGCCTGGAACTAACTCCAGCTCCATGGGATCTGATGCCTTCTTTTGGCCTCTGTGGGCACCACACTCAAATGGCATGGATTCACACAGACAGACATAAGAAAAAGTGAAAAAATATTTACCACCACCAATAAAAAGAATGCTTCTAGTAGAATAATTATGTCATCTTATCCCAGGTCAGATAGATGGGCTACTGTCTGCAGAATACGCTAATTTATATGAAATTTTCATGCCAAGATGAGAATTCTTGCTGGCTAAAGGATTATTTGGGGGATAGTCTGGCTGAGAGAAAAAGGAGCTGGTTTTTAAACATAAAAAAGGCATAAATCTATCTTGAAAAAAAAACTGACGGGAGAACTGTACCAAAACCTCCCAAGGAGAAGGGTGCTAAAATAAAACAGCTCTTCAGAGTTTTGCACATTACCCTTGCGAAGTCTGGTTCCATCAAACCAATACTTCAAAAATAAAAATGCCAGGAGTGTGGGAGGAAGAAAGAACGCCAATAAAACCGCCTGCCACCTGCACAGACAAGGTCTCACACACCTGCTGAAAGACAAGGCTAGGTGTAGGACACCTGATAAAACTTCAAAATAGTGCTTGCAAGAAATAAACTGAGTTTGCTTGAAGAAAGTTTTACTGCTATTTCAACAGAAACAGAACAGAGGTTGACCTGAATCCAACTGTAGAATGTCAGCCTCAGACCATTTACCACCCTGAATGCCAACTGGATGATCTTGGGCCAGCAGTGCCACCCAAAGGCTAGCAAGGGCAGAAGAGTCAGACTGGAAGCCTCATCATGGGATCTGGGCTCACTTAGCTTTCCTTGCTCCTCCTTTTTTACACACTTCTCTGCCATCTCTTGCTTGGCTGTGTGGCTGCAGATGGGCTTGGCTGGTGCTATTAGAATGAGGGTTTCATTTTTATCAGGGGAAAAATGTCATGACCAGTTTAATATCAAAGTAGAAAATAATGACCGGCAGGCATCACAACCCTCCAGGGCTTTGCCGGTATCCAGAAGTCTTCAGAAGCAGCCATGTTTCTATGCACGCTTTTCTTTTTGAAGACCTTGAATCTTCTTCCAAACACAAGTTTGAAACAAATTGCTTCTGCACTCTTTTCACTTGCCCTCTTTTGTCTAATTACCAGTATAATACAAGAATAGATTTCCATTGTAACTGCAGAAGAATTACAGAGATACTCTAAGGCAGGCTGGGAACTATCACTTTGCTACTAGCATTTAAAGGAAAATAAATCTTGAATTCCCAATCACTTTATTATTAAATAGAGGCTACAGTATGAGACCTGGCTTTGCATCCTGGCTCCGCCATTCAGTCTATTCTGAACTCTGCCTGTCTAAATTTGACTTTCCCTTTTCTCTGAAAAGAAAGGTTGCAGCAATACTGTGAGAAGTAGGGCAGCGATACTCAGTAAATGATGACTCAAAAAAGGAACAACTCTACACCTCTCCGAAAGCCTGGCATCCGTGTGTTCACACAGACACATCTGTTGATTTCTCGTCCTCCCTTGAGAGAGTGCACACGGTTACGCCTGATAAAATTTCAGGCATAGCTGTGTGTTCTGGTTACCTGAAATGATACATTCATTTACAAAGCCTGACGAGGGGGGTGGGGCTACCAGCTCCTTGGTAACGCAACAGGTAGGAAAGAGGGGAAAGGGTTCTCTAGAAACAGTCAAAGCCAGCACAGGCTGCTAAGGTAATTCCATACTCACTTTGCAATGTAGTAGACAGGTGGGTTATAAGACCAGTAATAAGATCACATTAGAATGCATGGCAACACAGACCACAAAACTCATGTCCTTCAGTGACAAAGTCTTTATGACAAAGAAAGAGAATAAACCTCTTTAGACCCGAGACCCTGACTCAACCCCACTTCCAGCACCATGGCTTTAGTTTCCGTCCATAACACAGACACACATCCTAGTAAATGACAGAGGAACTTGGAAAAAAAAAGTTTAAAAATAAAGGATGTGCTTTTTTTTTTTTAAAAAAAAAACGCTTTAAAAATTGCATTCATTTATTTTGTGCCATGTTGTATGCAAGGATGTGGGCACACGTGTGCTACAATACACATGTGGAGGTAAGAGGATAATTTAGGGTTCTTCCGCTATATGGGCCTCTGATACTGAACTCAGGTCATTAGATTTGACTGCGGTGTCTTTATCTATTGAGCTATCTCACTGGTCTGAGAAACTTAAAGTACAGACAAACACACAAATAAACCAACACAGGCCAGGTGTGGCCTTGAAGCCTAGCACTAGCACTGGAAGCACAGGCAGGCGAATCTCTGTGAGTTCAAGGCCAGCCTGTTTTAAGAAAAGTTTTCAGCCAGCCAGGGCTACCTGGAGAGACCTCATCTCAAAACAAAAGCACAAGCTAACCAAGATTGTTTTCTGTAGCTACTAGTCCTAAGACTAACACATTGCTGTCTCCCCCCCCCCCATCTCTAACTTTAAATAAAAAAGAAAGAAAAAATAAGGCTTGCCACCAGGCCTGCGCTCTGAGTGTGATCACTGGAGCGCACATGATGGAAGGAGAGAACTGACTCCCCCAAGATACCTTCTCAACTCGGCATGCCTGCGCGTGCACACACACACAAATAAAATAAAATTAGGACTTTTTAAGATCTTAGCATGCTTTCTTAAAGGATTTCAATTTTTATGGAAGAATATGACTTTTACAAATGACATTAAGTCAAATAATTTACATGTCAATTAGATTTTAATTCATATACAATTATCCTAGGAGTTACGTAATAGTGTGAAAAATTTTAATTTCTAAAAATTTATATGGGTGGATCTGTGTGAGTATGTGCATGTGAGCGCAGGGCCTGAGGAGACAAGACGGTGTTGGCTCCCCCAGAGCAGTGGTTCTTAACCTTCCTAATGCTTCGACCCTTGAACACAGTTCTTCATGTTGTGCTGACCTCAACCTAAAATTTAGTTGCTATTTCATAACTCTAGTTTTGCTACTGTTATGAATCGTAATGTAAATTTTTGATATGTGACCCCCCAGGGGTCACAACCCACAGACTGGGAACTGCTGCTCCGGTGTTAGAGGCAGTTGTGAGCCACCTGACACAGGGACTAGGAACTCAACTCGGGTCCTGTGCTAGAGCAATGTGCACTATTAACTGCTGAACTCTCTCTCCAGCTCCCCAGTTAGTCCCCTTGAAATGTCATGTTTCTGTAAATGTGAACGAAATAAAAATACAGTAATGGAGAACATGATTGTTAAAAATGAGAAACAAAACCAAATTACCTAAATATGTCAAGGAAAACACATTAAGCCCACATCTGAAAATCCAAAATTCCTTTATCTTTTTTTCTTTGTTATAAAAAGGCAAGTTTCTTATCTTTCTGATGGGTCTGATTTGTTCCATTTATTTACAGTGTGTGCAGGTCAGTGGTTACCATCAGGTTCCCATTTGTTCTCTGCCTTATTTTTGGAGACAAGGTCTTTCATGGATTGGGCGAGACTGGCTGAGGAGTGAGTTCAGGCTCAGCCTCCCAAGCAAAGGTCCCTGAGATTCCAGCGCTTTTGTTTTGTTGTTGTCTGTAAACATGGGTACTGGGGGATACAATTCAAGTACCCACGCTTGCACGGTAAGCCATAGGTCCCACCCATAGGTCCATTTCTCCAGCTTCTAGATTTGATTTAAAAGATCAATTCTAGTTCAGTAACTGGCTTTGGATTAGCTTTGCTTTTTCCTTCTTGAAAGGTGAAGTGTGCTGTATCTGAATTTGTAAACCACTTGTATGAGATGTACATCATGCATTTTCCTGGAAGCTTTCTTCAGTTCCTCAAAGCAGAGTACAGAGTGCACCGAACTTGATGTAGAAAGGTAGCTAGGATCCTTTCTATGCTTTTAAATAAAAGGTCATGTTGTCGCTGTCGTCCTTATCTGCCACTACACTCTCCCCAAGTAAATGAGATTGATGCAAAACTGAAGGCAATGGTGCCTGCCCAATCACGACCCAAGGAATGCACATGTGCTGTTACTGAGAAGCAACGTAATCAGAACGAGCGTTTAAAAATTGGTGCCAACTATTTTACTAGGTCACAGGGCAAGAAGGCCACTGAATAGATATTAACTTTATTCCGTTCATCATGGACCACTCATTCTCCGCTGTCTGTCGGTCACTACTCAGGTGATGGAGCTGGAACGGTGTCATACATTTTCCCAAATATCATCTCAATTACATTTATAAAAACTAGCAACAAACACAGTCTGCATCTCCCACAGAAAACCACAGTGTTGAGGGCGGGCTAACTCGGGGAGAGGAAGTGCATTCTTGGTTGGTTCGATTCCCCACAGGACGCAGGGAAAGGCCAGGGTGTTTGTGGGGTACACGTGGGACGTCCGGGCGGGCCCCTAACGGACTCGTCTGGATCCAGGCAAGCGACAAGGCGAGCTACCTGGGTCGCCCCGCACCGCCGCCGCCCTCGGCTGCGACCCCAACTGTCCGCGCGCCTTACCTGCGTCTGACCTTGCTCGCGCGCGTCCCGGAAAGCCCGCCCCCCGCCCGCCACCAGCTCCGGAGAGCAGGGGAGAGGCGGAAGCTGGGCGGCTAGAGCGGAGCCACGGACAACCCGGAACTACTAGGGTTCCCTGGCGGGGCCGGGCCTCGGGTGACACCTAGCGGTCCGGCTCGCTCGGCGCTGAGAGCGGGGCAGGCTCGGCTTTCTCAGAAGGTTCTGGAGGGCTCGCAAGCTTCATTTTGTTGAGAATGGCCACGGCGCTGCATCCATCGTAGCAAGAGAAGCTACTTGCTCTTTGATAATAGAACGAAATGTAGTGTTTTTCCTTTCTCATTGTCTTTTCTTTTTCTCATGCCCTATGTGCTCCAAAGATACTAGTTGATGCTAGAACGGAGTCTTTTTGAGCCTCTTTGGAAGATTCCTTTGTATTAGTCAAGGGGTTATCTTTGAAGCTGTATTTCTCTCTTCTGGGCGCAGTGATGGAACTGCCGGCTGGAAGATAGACAGGGGCGGTAGCACGGAGAGAATTGTGTCTTGGAAGACAGTCCAGGTTATGATTCTCCTCGTACAGTTGGACAAGCTCTTGTAAAATTCTGCTCCCAACTGAACATGGCGGACAATGAAGGCTGATGAGAAGCCAAGGACAATGGCACTAGGTTTCGATCCTAATACATGAACTGGCTATGTGGGAGCCTAGCCAGTTTGGATGCTCACCTTCCTGGTCCTGGATAGAAGTGGGAGGACCTTGGACTTCCCGCAGGGCAGGGAATCTGAACTGCTCTTCAGTCTCGAGAGGGAGGGGGAATGGAGGGGGGAGGGGAGAGGGAGAGGGGAGTGGGGAGAGGAGGCAATGTGTGGGAGGAGGAGGAGGGAAATGGGAAATGGGGAGGAGGCTGAAAATTTTTTTCAACAACTAAAAAAAAAAATAAAGAAAAAAATTCTGCTCCCAACTTTTTTCTTTAAAATATATTTTATTAGTTACATTTATTCATTCATTTTACATCCTGACCATAGTTTCCCTTCTGTCCTCTCCTCCCACCCTACCTCCCCACCCACTCCTCCTCTGTTTCTGTCCAGAAAGGGGCAGTGTTAGTATTTGGGCATCTGTACTGGCCTGCCCGTAGGGTCCTGACAGGATGCGTCCTCAGCGGTAGCTAATAAGAGCACCTCCTGTGCACATTCTCTATGTTCCTTTTTAAAAGGTGGGTGGGCCTGCCCACCTCCCATCGCTTTCTCTTTTTTCTCTTTCCCTTTCACTTTCTCTCTCTCCTCCCTCTCTTTTTCTTTTCTGCCACTCTTGTCCCCAGGGACTTGTCTCTGCCTCCCTCTCTGTCCCCTTCTCTACTCCTTCAATCTTCTCTTCCAATAAATCTCTAGTGTGAGCTTTGTATGGCATGACTTCTCTTCTAAGCTTTTTTAAAAAAAATTACAACGAGCAGGCTTCCCATTGGTGTCAACAAAGTACCGCATATCAAGTTGAGTAGGACTAAGCTCCTCCCCACGTGTTAAGGCTTGGTAAAGCAACCCAGTATGAGGAATAGGTTCCCCCAAACCTGCCAAAGCGTCAGGGACAGGCTCCGCTCCCCTGAGAAGACCAAGCTATACAATTGCCACATCTGCTTCCAGCTTTTATGATAAAGTTTCGATGTAAAAAAAAAAAAAAGGAAAGAAAAGCAAGATGTCGATGTCTTAACTGTGGGGCAGGAAAATGTCTTAACCAGTGGACCGTTGTGAGATCAGTCATGGGACCTTGGGCAATCTCAAAAGGAAATCAGATATGTGGACCAAGAAAAGTACAGTTTATCTGTGTCTGTTGACAGTCAGAGGGCCCTTCTTGGTCATCTGTCCTTGGGGCCACAGATGGGTTGTTCACACCGTATCAAAAACTAAGGCACTGAGGTATTTGCCCATCTGTGCACTAGTGAAGGGTTTGCATGTTAAAAAGACCAAGACTTCATTTTCATTGTGGCTTTGGCTTCTACTATAAGGTTTTTTTTTTTTTTTAGAAGCTCTTGGGAAGAAATATCGCAAAAAAGGCAATCTGATTCACCATAGTTTGGGAAGGAAGAAGGCTCACCTTACTCTACTGGTGTGACACCCACTTCATAAATATAAGAATTAAAAAATTTACAATGCAGAATGTACTATGCTGCTCCCCTTCTCTTCGGGTTAGCTCACTTCTTGGCAACTTTATTTTCTTTGTTAAGTAAACTGCTTAAACTGCGAGTCTCCACTGAATTTTTCCTTGAAAAGACAAGAGCTGAGAAACCCCCGCTCATAAGAAAGCACATCTTCTCAGTGGTTAGCTAAGTCTTTCATCGACAACAGAAACACTCTAAGTCTTTCACCCCTTGCAAATCTGCTTTCCATAGTTTTATAGGGATTCTGCACAACACTTATTGAATGCTTGATAGTTCGATTGAGAAACCAGTACTTATTTTCTGAGCATTAATCAAGGCCTTACAAAAATACAGTAAAATAGATCTTAGAATTAAGGCAAGTCAGCAGTGAGTTCTATATCTAAAGGGCATTCAGTTGACATTGTCTCCACTCCTATAGAATTGTTGTTTGTCAGGTTTTAATATGTTATCAACCATGCTATAGTAAGCAATCTTTTAAACATTTATACCAAGGCTATTAAAATCCCATACATAACTACAGCCACCCACCTCACAGTATCCTGGGCAGCAGTCGTCCTTGGAGAAATCTCACCTTGCGTTTGTGGTTTCTGTAGATTTGGGTTGTTTTTAACCAATGCCCTCTTAGAGTTTATAAACAAGAAGACTTTTGTCCTTGCTTGCCTCTCTGTTGCTGTGATGAAACACTGGCCAAAAACTACTTGGGAGCAGTTGATTTGACTTCTACTTGTAGTCCGTCATCCAGGGAGGCCATCACAGGGACCCAGGGCAGAGATCATGGAGGACCACTGTTTACTGGCTTGCTCCCATGACTTGCTTGCCTGCTTTCTTCTACAACCCAGGATCACCTGCACAGGAATGACACAGCCCACCTGGAGCATGGCTTCCCCATCAATGATTAATCAAGAAAATGTCCCACAGATATGCCCTCAGCCCAACCTGCTGGAGGCAATTACTCAATTAAATTCACTTCTTTCTGGGCGACTCAGTTTATGTCAAACTGATAAAAACTAACCAGTACAAACTCCTTTATATATTGGCTGTTAGCTTTAAAGCCAGATTTTTAATTGACTCATGGCATAAAATATTCTAAACGTATCCTCACCTACATATGGGGAGTTGGTTCCATGGACATCATAATCTGTGGTTGCTCAACACATGGACTGATATTTGCATATAATATATGCACAGCTTATAATATACTTCAAATTATTTCTAGATTAGTTATGCTATCTCATACAGTGTAAAAGATCTGTGAATAGTTGTTATACTGTATTGGTAAGAGAATACCGACAAAAAAGTGTCTGTCTACACTTACTATAGATACAAGACCCTCCAAGTTATTAAGTGAATCTATGGGTGGAAGGCCTGCTATATTTGTATGAAGCTTGTTGTTGGTTCTGCTTCATGTCTTTTTAAAAATCATTTTAAGGGATTTGCTGTATTTTAGAAATATTTGTTTTTAATTGTGTGTGTGTCTGAGTATGTGTATGTGTATGTGTATGTATGTTCACATGATGGCAGGTGCCAGTGCAGGCCAGAAGAGGACGTCATATAACCCGAAGCTGGAGTTGTAGGTGGCTGAGAATCACCTAACATGGAATCTGGGAACTGAATTTGGGCTCTCCTCTTCAAGAGTAGCATGTGCTCCCAGTTGTTGAGCATCTCTGCTGATTTGTGTTATTAGTATGTTTTGTGCACGCCTCTCTCCCTCCCTCCCTCCCTCCCTCCCTCCCTCCCTCCCTCCCTCCCTCCCTCCCTCCCTTTCTTCCTTTCTTTCTTCCATCCTTCTTTCCTTTATTTATTTGCTTTAAAATAGAGTTTCCCAATGTAGCCCTGGCTTGCATGAAACTCACTCTGTAGACCAGGCTGGCTCTGGGATCACAGAGACCCACCTGATTCTGCCTCTTGAGTGCTGGGATTAAAAGCATGCTCCATCATGTCTGGAAATAAATCTTTCTTAGTATACAGCAAGGTGATTGGTGGTTACTTCCTTCTCTGCCCTGCACCCTTCCTGATATGGGGAAGAGCCCCTTTTAGGCCAGTGCCACCTGAGGATTTCCTGGAGGTCCCCCCCGCCCCCGCCCCGTACTCCATGAAAGAGGAAAACCGAGAAGAGTGTGAAAGGAGGCAAAACGTGGGGAAAGCAGAGCAGAGACCGTGGGACTGAGTGACTCGATGAAGTGTTCTCTTGCTGGAACAAATAAAAGATTCCTGATTAACACAGTTAAGAACACACTGCCCTCCCATAAAGAGCAAGAGCATGAATAAAAAGAGGGCAGCGAGGAATCTGATGCACACCAAGACCAGGAAGAAACAAATGCAAAGAAGTACAGAAGCCACCCCTGTAAGTGCAGCCTGCACCCGGCCAGAGGCTCAGTGGCTGCTCTCCTAAGGAAGTGCCCCCTCCCAAGTGTGATCCACCACCCTGCAGGCTTGGAGGTGGAGCAGCCAGCCTGGCCCAGTACTGCACCTGTGCCCGGTGAGGAGGACTGGAGGTGCACAGGCTCTGACATTTGAGACTGACTTTCCCAGTAGATCCTTTGTTTTTAAGGTGACTGTTGCTTTTGTTGTGTTGTGATTGTTCCTAAAGCAAACCTTACCTACCTTGTCCTGAAGGTGTCATGACAACAGTAAGCTGTCTGGGCACTGTAATGAACATCCATGATTATTTATTTCTTTATTTATTTATCCTATCTTGTTTGGAAATTAGTAAAAAAAAAAGTTCTAGAATTTGAAATTTTCAGGTTATTAAAAACTAGCCCCAGTTTTTTGTTGTACTGTACTTTTGTGGTTATTTCCAGAATTTCTCAATAGAAAAGAAAAGAAATGTAAAAAAATAAACAAAAAAAAACCAGAGCACCAAGGTGTATTAGTTTTTTGTCTGTTACTAACGTTTGGTATGTTGGAAGGAGGTTTAGTTTGGCTCCTGGTTCTG